GGGCGTGGACCCCGCGCCCCAGCCCCGTCCAGCTCCGCTCTCCACCCGGCTGCGGGTCCGACGCCCCGGAGGGCAGAGGCTGCCCTGGGTTAGGCCGGGCGCACCGGCCGCAGACAGCGCTCAGAGCGCACAGGCCTGGGCGCGCCCGGAGCCGACGGCCGGCCGCGAGGGTTTTTTAAACGTAATCGCTGCGGGTTAGGGTGCAAACTGACCCCCGCAGGTCCCGCCTGCGCCCCAGCCCTCCGCAGGCGGGGCCTCCCCTCCCCCTCCTCTGGGACCAGGTCTGCCCAGGGGGTCCTGGCCCGGAGCAGTCTGCAGGGCGCGGTCACCCTTGCAGGCCGGGGTCCCTCCTCGTCGCCCATTAGACAGTGGCGTCCCAAAGTGAGGATCCCTTGAGACCACCACATCGGGCAAAGCCGGGGCCGGGGCTCACCGCGAAAGCTCTGGCTGAACCTCTTCCCGCGGGAGCGGTCCCCGCGGCTGCGCTGCAGCAGAGCCACGTACTCGGCCCTCACGTGGACAGGCACAGCCAGCCCCTCCACGTCCGCCCTGTGCAGGACGGGCGCCCGGCGCAGCCCCAGCTGCCGCAGCAGGCTGCCCAAGACCTGATCCCCCGTCAGGGCCTCCGCAGGGCCAGCCAGGGCCAGCACCCAGAGCGCCCAGCACAGCCCCGCAAGCCGCATGGTGCTGTCCAGAGGACGAGAGGCTGTAGCCTGTCCCAGGAGGGTCTCGAGCCGGGCTGTGTCTCCAGAGATGGGGCAGCGCTGAGCCAGCTTTATAGCCAGCCCCAGGCTGGGGAGGGCGGGCGGGAGGTCACACCCTCAGCCTCCTGGGAGCTCACAGCCAGACGGCCCCAGCCCTGAAGAGGGGGCTGTCTAGAGGGGACACAAAGAGCTGTCTGGATGCCACACAGGCCTAGGCTTCTGGTTGTGCTGCTTTGGCAGCACAACGGTATTTTCAGTGCTTGTTGAATTTCCCTGGTCTTGTCTATGAAAAGGGGAGGATATTCTGTGAAAAAAGAGACCAGTGCTTTACATCTCTATACATCTCCTCCTGGACAGGTCTGTGTCTAGGTTTATTCATCAAGAAGCAAGGAGGAAGCCGGGCCTGGCAGTACATACCCGTAATCCGAGCACTTGGGGAGGCTGAGACAGGACAATCGAAAGTTTGAGCCCAGACAGGGCAAAAAAAAATTAAGGGCTGGGCATATACTCAGTGAGAAGGCCCTGAGTTCAATCTCCAGTACTGCAATCAATCAGTAATCAATAAATGAAAGGAAAGAAGAGGGCCAGGGATGTAGCTCACTGGTAGAGCACCTGCCTGGCAAGCTCAAGGTCTTTAGCTTGATTCCCAGTACAAAAAAAAAAAGAAAAGAAAGAGCTGGGTGTGGTGGCACACACCTGTAACCCCAAAACTCTGGAGACTGAATCAGGAGGATGGACTTTGACGCCAGCTTGGAATACATAATACAGTGAAACCCTGTGTCAAAAAAAAAAAAAAATTAAAAATAAATAAGTAATAATAACAAAAAGAGCCAGCCATGGTGGCACACGTGTGTAGTCCCAGCTGAGGCAGGAAGATTGCTGAAAGTTTAAGGCCAGCCTGGGCTTCATAGTGAGTTCGACCAGCCTGGACTACATAGCAAGACTCGGACTAAAAGAAGAAAGGAGGAAAATATTCTGCATTCCTGCTGGCCCTGACCCCATTCACAGATTTCCTTGGTGTCAGAAGGGTCTCCCTGTGCCCTCAGTCTCGCAGCCACCTCCTGCTTCCCCCTGCAGGACCCTCAGGATCTGCCACAGTCCCTTCCCTCCTCCAGGACAGAGGAATCTAGATGCTGCCGACACAGAAATCTGGTAGCTGGACACTTTTTGGCAACCCCAGGAAAAGCAGTTTCTGCTGGTGTGTTTGTAATCGGATGACCATAGAGCAAGCTGCCTGCAGACAGCAGGTTCTTTCGGGGAGAGGCCCACCCACGAGCTGCTGCGGCACAGGCATACAGCTTGAGTCTCAGCCCATCCCAGACACAGAGGACAGGAACCCGGAAGGAAAGGCCACCACCACCCAGAGGCACATCTTGTCCAGAGCTGAGCTCAGGTATGGAACTGCTGCTTGTATGACCTGCTCTCCAGGGCTTGGATCTTTCTGCTTCAGTTCCCTCATCTGCAGCAGGGACAATGATGGCAGAGTCTGCTTCTAGGGCTGATACGAAGAGTAGGTACATGAATACATGCTAGGGAGTTTAGGTCTGCACCTGGCTCCCAGTAAACATCCTGGAAGGGCTTGCTGTTGCTATCATCTGTCCGAAACCCACATTCTCAAAGTTGTGCCTTTTATAAAAATATCAGTAACAAAAATAGCTTAGCGTTTTGGTTTTGTTTTGGTTTTATGGAGCTGAGGAACAAACCCAGGGCCTCTCTCATGCCAGGCAGGTGCTCTCCTACTGAGCGGTACCCCTAACCCAGCAAATATGAGCTGAATCCATCAGTGTCCTGAGCTCAGAAGACGATTCACACAGCCCTCAGGAGGCAGGTATCCCCTGCTCCTGGCACCTCTCCCAAGTGGGGTGAAGCTACCTGCTGCCCTCCCCAGTGGTGGAGGGCTTGGGATGTAAATGTAGGCACGGACATCTGTCTCTGGAGACCCCTCCTGGCTTAGAGGACCTGAGGGTGACAAGAAGAGGCCCTTGGAACTCCAGCCACCAGCCCTGTGTTCTGCCACATGGAGCTGAGCAGCAATGGTGGAGGAAGACAAGGACCTGCACGACAGCCACCAGGCAGTGAGAAGAGAGCAACTGCTCCCTTCCCCAGGCAGGTGGACACCCTGGGCCTTGGGGATGCCGTGTTATTCACAGTCTTCTTGTGTCACTCATCTCGGACAGGAAAGAGCTTTCTGGTTCTCAGGGACGGAAAAGCTCTGGATGAGGGCCCAGTACATCACACACAGATGGCCACCATACACATACCCACATGCACATGCTCACACACATATACAGTGGTGCCTCCATTCATGAACTTAATTCTTTCCCTGATTCTGATCATGAACCGAATTGGTTGAGAACCCAATCAGATTTCCCATAAGGTTAAATGTCATCTGATGCAGAGTTTATGAACGGAAGCAAAATTTTGCCAAATGCTTCTGTTCAAGAACTGCATTGTTCACAGAAGCACTCGTGAACCAAGGTACCACTGTATTTGCACATATATATGTACAAGGGGTGATCAAAAGTACAGTGAATGTTTAAATTTCTAAAACCATTGTTCAGCGAATGACACATTGCCAAGAACATGGGATAATGCATTCAGAGCAGGGAGGGATCCAGTGACACCTTGGTTGTGGAATGGCTCCAAACTTGAACTTTCCACTACTTGAACAGCAAGGTTGAAAACAGATCTGCTCGGTGTTCATAACTTTGCTTGATAATCGAACTGAAAATCTGACTTGAAAAAACCTGTCAGGGTGGAGAGTGAGTCACACGTTATATGTTGCCGTGCAGACACAAAGGGCCACGCTTCAGTCTGAGCGCCGCACTCCTTCACACGACACACAGCATTTGTGTTACTGCATTCAAACAGTTGTCACTGTGCTATTTTTGTGCTTTATTTGTGTAAAATATCATAACTATGTCTCCAAAAAAAGTTAGTGATACCAGCAGTAAAGCTAAGAGGAAAATTGTGAGAACCATGATAGAGTTAAAGAAAGAAGTCATCACAAAGATTTTTTTTGGATACCTGGAATCAAACTCATGACCTTGCACATGCCAGGCAGGCGCACTGCCACTGAGCTAAATCCCTGGCCCACGAAATTCGTTACGGTCCTGGAAAATTTTGTTTAAAGCATAATTTTCATAATTTTTGAACCAGTTATTTGTCTTTTCTTCCTTTCTTTTTGTTTTGAGATAGGTTCTCACTATGTAGTCCAGGATGACCTTGAAATTATGGTGAGCCTCCTGCCTCATCCTCCCCAGTGCTAAGATTATAGACATGCACCAACACACCCAGCTTGGTTTTCTATTATTTATTTATTTATTTATTTATTTTGGTTTTGGTTTTTCTCCGGTACCGGGAACCGAACTCACGACCTTGCGCTTGCCAGGCAGGCGCTTTGCCGCTGAGCTAAATCCCCAGCCCCCTATTTATTATTTCTTATTGGAAAAATGTGTTCTGTTCTCAAACTTTTTGGCATTCAAACACAAATTTGGAAAAATTGAGTTTGACAACCAAGGCCCCACTGTTTTTTGATAGGGATTCACAGCAATGTGTCTTTTACTGTGCTCATTTAAGGGAGATCATACATATGTGTATGTACATATACATAGAGTGTTTTAATAGGAAATAGGTGTGGACTTAGAAGAGGAAGAGGAAGAGGAATAACCCTGATTGGACTAAAGGTGTAATCCAATGGTAGAGCATTTTCTAGCATGTTTAAGTCTCTGAATTCAATCCCTAATGCAGCAAAAAAATATAAAAATAAAAAACCATGATAATCATAATGGCTGGCAGCATTTGTGGACCGTGCTCTGTTGAGCGCTGTCCATACATTGCTGTGTTATATGTAAATGCATGAGAGGACAGTGCCGTTGTTTTTTTTGTTTTGTTTTGTTTTGTTTTTGTTTTTTTACCGGGAATCGAATTCAGGACCTTGCACTTACCAAGCAGGTGGTTGTGCCTCTGAGCTAGATCCCCGGCCCGATGCTGCTGTTGTTGTTGCTGCTTTATCGATGAAGAAACTGGGGCATAAACTGTCAGTGACAGCCGTGGTCACAGAGCCGGAGGGAGGGTTGTTTCAAGGGAAGACACAGCGGTTGTGCCACATGTACAAGGCTAACAGGAGAGGAAAAGCAGCTGTCCTCACAGCTGACTGCGCGGGAGGGATCTCAGGGTTTCTGGAATCCAGACTTCTGCTGCTTCTTTGCTTCTTTTCTCTTTTCCCTTCCTCCTCCATTACCAAGGAAACTCAAGGAGAGGTTAACATTCCATCCCAGGAGTTAATGGTGTACAGTAGTGGTAGAGTACTTGTCTGTTGTTACACACACACACAGACACACAGAGACAGCCCCTCCTGGAGCTCTGGAGCTCAGTTCTCATAATTTGAACATCTCCTAAAATACAAGGTCCTCTGCACCACACAGGCCCCTGCTCTCTGGGTGACAGGCATACCCTTCTGCAAACAACAACAACAGAATGACCACTGCCTTCCTTTGCAAGTGATTAGCAGGAAAAGGATTCATGTGATGCAAACATTTGGGCCTTAAGTCAGACCAAAAGGTGCAGAAGTGTCACATTTACAGGCAACCAAAGACCCATAACTCTCAGTTACCGAAAGCTCTTCGGGGCCGCCATTCGGTAAATATGCAGTAGGCAGCCACCCTCGCTGTTGGTTGACAGGAAGCCCTGTGGTTTATCATGGGGCAGGGGGTAAGGATATAACACCCAGGCTGTCCTTGCAAGCCATGACCCCTCCTAAACCCCCACCAGGAGCTCCAGGGACTGAAGCTTACAATGAGACTGCAGACCTTGTGGTGGTCCCACAGGGTCCTGCTGTCCCCAGGCAGGAGGCCACACGGTCTTTCCCACCCAGGAGACACAGCAGGGCTGAAGGGCTCTGGGAGTCCTTGTGTGGCCAGGAGCCCCCTCTACACCTATGGTAACTGACCACCTATATGGAACCTCACCTTCCAGAGAAGACTGACAAGCGGAGGGGCCCTTTCCAGCTGTGCCCCCTGCTTCCCTAAGGTGTCAACTGGTCCTTCGGGACTGGCCTGGTGGGCAAGAACCAAGTTTATGGTGGCATCCTCTGCAGGAGCTGAAAACACACAGTCCACAAATCCCCAGAGCTCCTACAGGGCCCAGGATAGCATCCAGAGCCTCCTGCTGCAGGGAGATCAGGGACACTGTGAGCCTGCACTGCAGTCCGTGCTTATTCCAGAAACTGAGGCTCTAGGCTAGGGAACTGCGCTTACACTGGGGAGAGCCTGGGAACCTGAAGGATTGGTCCAGCCATGCACCTGACCGTCTTCATTCTCCCTGCTAGTTTGTAGGATGAGAGTTTAGAGCTAAAATCAAGTATCCATGCCATTTCTCCTGTCTCCAGGTTTTAGAGCCACGAAACCAGAGGCTCAGAGAGGTGACAGTGACCCTGAGTGCACACCATTAACAA